TAGTAGTAGTAGTAGTAGTCATAACACCGTCACGGCAGCAGTACGATTCGGTTCGGTTCAGTACATGCTTGCGATTGTGGCTTGTGCATGTCTGGAAATGCCTCATCCCTTGCATGGATCTCCCACGTCTTCGCATTTTCACCTAGCAACCCAATGTCCCGACAGCCCCACGTCTGTAAAATTGGCATCTCTTAAACATCAAGCAGAATGCCTCAACTTTGGAACGGGGAAAAGAAGCTCAACTCTTGGAACCTGAAAATGCCAGACAATTTCTGTGAGAAGGGCAGCAGCTATGCAACCGGAATCAGGTCGCATCGCCTGGCTTTGCTTCCCATTAGTGACTCAAATAAACCAGCAAGGGTTTTTCGTCATCCCTCACCTGAGACCATCAGATGCGTCTACAGCTGCAGACCTTTTGCTAGTGCTGCTCTTACTATAGATACCGTTACTTGTAGAAGACGTTTTGAGGTGGTGGATACGAGTATCAGAAAATCAGAGGGTCAACAAGGTCAACAACATTTTGGTCCTGCAGTCCTTTCCTTGTGCAATTGAATATTTGCAGCGCTTGACTTTCCCCAGGAACCCCTTGTTTCATGTGCCGCAGCTCGCGGTAGCCCTCACTCGGTGCAACTCGCAATTGCAGGCCTCCGCTCTGGGCGCAGCTGGCGGGGCTTTGGCTGGCTGCTGCACGGGTGTTGGCACCGTTGGCACCTGGCTGTTGTTCAGCTTTTGGTTTTTTGCACTGTGCGGGCATGACCTGACACGAGGAATGCACACAAAGGATTTCGCTGCATGGCCCGAAACACGTTGAGTGCATTCATCTGGGTAGCAGTCGTCGGCGTCGTCACAGCACTACTAACACCAGTACTGGAGTTGCAGCGGCAGCAACGGGGGTTGCAGCAACATTCGTGCAACGCACGGCATCTGCCTCTGCTTTGTGCACCGCTGGCGGTGCTTTCGCTGGCTGCTGCTCGGGTGTGGGAGCCTGACGGTGTGAGGCTGCTTTGACATGGTTTCTAGAAGAACAAGGTCAGCTGTATCATCATACTTTTCAGGACTTCTGTAACAATGATTGCCCCACTGATGTGTCCGTTCGAAATGTGAGCATGATTCAAATGATTTCGGCTGTTGCTAGACAGCGCCGCTGCTGGATTTATATATCACTATGGTTGTCTCTGTTGTCTCTGTTGTGTTTGTTGCCAGAGCTGAATAAACTTACTACTATCCGTATCACCATCGCTTCAATGAGAAGGAGTGATTCCATCACCGTATCCGTTCTCGTCATGAACTACGGCGAAGAATTAATGATTTGCTGCAGTTTTGAGGTTCTGACTAATGATGTTGTGGTTGCTGCAAGTACTTCGATATGTCCCTTCTGGGCTCGTATCCCAATGAGTGTGTTTGATATCGAAGCAGATTCAAATCTGTTGTCTCCACAACCAACATGGTGATAAACATGATGACTATGAGAATGGTCCCTTTAAAAGTAAAGAGAATGATGATTCTGCCAATGTTACTATCGTTCTTGAGAACAGTGCCACTGAGAACGGCAATAAAGGAGAATGATGGTAGTCATGCTAACGTCGTTCACGGAGCTTGTAACCATATTTGTATTGACAACGGTGACCATTGCGATGGTCTTCCCAGTGATGATGCTGACGATGATCGTAGAATTAACAGCGACCCTGACTACACATACCAATGACGCCAACGACAACCATGACGACGAGTAAATTGACGAGCAATGCTGTGCCGATGATAACGATATGGTGGTGGTGATAACAGTTGTGGCGACGTTGACGATGATGACATCAGCAACCATGACCATGCAGGCCTATCCACCCAGTCGATCGACCCGGCTCGCATCCAACCACTTCTCGATTTGTTTACAACGCACTCAGCATGGACACTCGCGATAATTATTGTAGACACCTTTGGCTCCGCATTAGGATTTGAGCCAGTGCCGAAACGACGTAAGGGTTGCGACTGGCCTGTCAATGCTGCACTATGAACAAGCCAGCAGCCGGTCTTGGTAGCCTTCCGTAATGGATCAGAAAACCGGGCCTCTGCTTTGGGTGCAGCCTTTGGCACCTCCAGCTATGCAACATGAAGGTTCGTGCGTGGTGGGAAGCGGGGATTGAGAGCACCATGCAACGGTGTGGCCAACTGACCAATATCTTTGGGGAGTGAACCTGCGCATATCCGCTGTCGCTGGGACAATCAATCAGAACATCCTCAGATGTGCTGTTTAAGTGAGGCCTCAAGTTGACGTACAGGCAGAGTGTTGGGTGGAAAACTGGCTGCAGGGAGTCGCGTGATCTTGTACGTGTAAAGACGCCATGCAGTCTTTCCATAGCAGACATTACCACTGTGTGCTACAGTTTCTGACCACGGCACGTATCAACAATATCATATCAGTTGTGAATCTGTTTCTCCTTCCGTGGAGACGCAAACAGGTCTTCCTTGTCGTGGAATTGTTAAGAACCGTCATGGGTGCAGACCATCCACGAAAAAAACAGCCGTAGCAAACTTATCGCCATCAACAGAGCCCCTGCTTGCCCCGAGCCATGAGCTTCAAAACCCGTCCCGAATGTCCCCACGACCCGAAAGCTTTAAACCCCCAAGGACACAAATTCTTCAAAAAGGCTTGAGTCTTTGGACCTTTGTGGAAGAGTCCCAAGATGTTGCTGCGACTGCCTGAAACATGAACGGTAACCAAAGGAAATCAGGATCTTGTGGATATTAGACTTCCACGAGTGGGGAACCTCCACAGTAACAGGTTTCTGTATCAGGATACAATATGTCTCGCAGAAGGAGCCCTCGTTGTAGGAATGAGGTGGAGGGGATCGAAAGCCGGCCTCTATCCTCGCCGGCGGGATGAAACCTCCCTCCGCCGCTTTGGGCGCAGCTTTCGGCTCTGCTTTTGCCGGAGGCGCCGAGCTCTCGCCTCGACGCGTTCAAGTTTGGGCGAAGTCGGGAACTAACGGTTTGGAAATGAAAGGCGATAGAGCGAGCTCATGGAACGGCAGACAGCCCCATTCTTAAGCTCTCCGAGTAGACTGCAGTTTAATTTCGAAGCAGCCTTCAGTTTAAACCCAAACCCACAATTACAAAATACAGCGACAGTATCAGTAAACTCTGAGGCCTTCAACACAGCAAACGGAGCTTTCTCTATGGGATCAAGGAATCTTCAATCACAGGGTTTTGGTGTTGAAGTCCTACAAAACACGCAGTCTGACTTCAGCTTCTATGGCAGCTGCTGTAAGCGGTTTCGCGGTTAGGCTTAGGATTAGACATTGGGTTTGGGGTCCAACTTGGCTCAACTCACAAGACGTACAGTGCAGTCCAGCCTGCCAGCAAGGAGTCAAAGAAGGCGTCCGTGTCCTCTTCAAAGGCTTTCAAAATGTCCTGCGCCGTCCGCTGTCTGGAAGCCCTGCAGAATTCAAACCAAGAGACCCCAACTTGACGAAGCTGTCGCTTTCATGTGTGGGAACGTTCTCGGAACTGCTAC